ACCGTATGTGGGCGGAAGGCGTACCATTTTGATGGAAGAGGCTCATCGATCGAAGTTCTCGATCCATCCCGGGGCCACTAAGATGTATTTAGATCTGAAAAGGGAGTATTGGTGGCCGTGTATGAAGAGGGACGTTGCATGGTTCGTGGAGAGGTGCCTAACCTGTCGCAGGGTTAAGGCCGAGCATCAGAGACCGCACGACAAGTTGCACCTGTTAGAGATTCCCGAGTGGAAGTGGGAACAGATTGCCATGGACTTTATCACCAAATTTCCAAGGACCGCGAGGGGCGTCGATGCAATTTGGGTGATTGTAGACCGGTTAACGAAGAGCGCTCATTTCCTCGCTATTAGCGAGAGCTCTTCCGCAGAGAGGTTGGCAGAGATATATGTGACGGAAGTGGTAGCACAGCATGGAGTACCGATCTCGATTATCTCAGACCGAGATGTGCGTTTCACCTCTAGATTCTGGAAGAAATTCCATGAGGAATTGGGTACTATACTGCATTTCAGTACCGCGTACCAACCCCAGACTGATGGACAGAGTGAGCGGACGATTCAGACGCTCGAGGATATGCTCCGGGCATGTGTGTTGGACTTTGGCAGGAGTTGGGACACGTACTTACCGTTGGCGGAGTTTTCCTATAACAACAGCCATCATTCGAGCATTGGTATGCCACCCTTTGAGTTGTTGTATGGGAGGAGGTGTCAGACCCCCATTTGTTGGGGAGAAGTGGGGCATCATGTGATGCGTAGTACGGAGATAGTGCTTCAGACATCTGAGCAGATCCAGCAGGTCAGGCAGAGATTATTGACCTCTCAGAGTCACCAGAGGAGTTATGCTGATAGGCGACGATCCGAGCTCGAATTTCAGGTCGGTGATTTGGTGCTTCTGAAGGTATCTCCTTGGAAAGGAGTGATCCGATTCAGAAAGAGGGGCAAGCTGGGACCCCAGTATATTGGGCCGTTTAGGGTGATCGCGAGGGTGGGCAGGGTAGCGTATCGCTTGGAGACACCTGCAGAGTTGGGTCAGATTCATGACACTTTCCACGTATCGCAGTTGCGGAAGTGTATAGCAGATGAGTCGATAGTGGTGCCATTGGAAGACAGTCAGGTGGATGCGATTCTGAATTATGCTGAGAGACCGGTGGCGATCAGGGATCGGAAGATCAAGGTTTTGAGGAACAAGGAAGTGCCTCTGGTTTTGGTTCAGTGGCAACATCGGAAAGGGTCCGAGCTGACTTGGGAGTCGGAGCGTGAGATGCGTGAGCAGCATCCGGAGTTATTTCCAGAGTGAGACTTCGAGGGTGAAGTCCAATTCTAGTGGGGGAGAATTGTAACAGTCGGGCTTCTAGGTATATTATTTTATTTATTTATTTTGAATTATGAGAAGGAACTCGGCGAGTTGATGCGTAGCCTCGCCAAGTAGGGTCGTGATTGTTCATCCGGATTCACCTTGGACTCGGTGAGTCCACGCTGTTTAATGAAACCCTAAATCCCTAGGTTTGGAGCCTATTTAAGGTCACTTAGAGCCTCTCATTTCGGCTACAAATCCCTTGAGAGAACCCTAAGTGAGCCAAATCGTTGTGAGGAAGAAGAAGTCACTTTTGATCCTTGTATCTTTGGTTTGGTAAGAAGGAGGTACAAGAGCAAAAGGGGAGGTGCGATTCTAGCAGTTCTAGAGATTCAGAGACTTCATTTTGAGTTAATAGTTCGAACCACCTTCAGTTTTGGTGTTGATCATTAGAGTTAGGGTTTTCTAACCCCTTTGGAGAGTGATTATGTGGAGCAAATGGTCCCTCTTTGAGTTTGTGCCTTGGATCTGGACTCAAAGAGGTCCAGAGACCTTAGGTTGCCATTTTTGGGACTAAATCTCCTTTTGATGGCTTGTTGTTGTCATACAAGCATCAAGTTTCGAGCTTTACGTGACATTCATGCTTGTGAAGGCAAGATCTTTGATTTAGGGAAACAGATCTGACCTCAGGAGGCCAATAGAGTTTGTGCATGGCATGAACTCGCCGAGTTGTTCCTGAGACTCGGCGAGTAGGGTTATGGTTCACGTAAATTGCCTAGAGAGTGGACTTGTTGAGTTGGGGGATGACTCAGTGAGTCAGAAGAGAGTTAGAGGACTGGAGTTCAAGGCGGTACTCGCCGAGTTGTTCTTGAGACTCAGCGAGTTGAGTCGTGGTGGCCCCGCGATTCATGCCTGGTATGACTTGTCAAGCATAGGGATGGACTCAGCGTGCAAAGCGGGACAAAGTGTTAAAGAACATGTGTAAACTCGCCGAGTCACCAGGGTGCACTCGGCGAGTAAGGTCAAAGTGTGACCGTTGACTTTTAGGGTTTGGTCAATAGAGTACTTGTGTCGAGAGGGGGGGAAATAGCCTTTTCCTTCTTGAGGGTGCCAATGGTAGGACGAGTCTAGTTTCGAGAGTTATATTTATAAGAGTATTTACCTTATGTGAATAGGCGAAGACTAGGCAATATTTCTACCGAGTCAGAGATTTACCGAGACGCCTAAGGTGAGTCTTCTCACTATACTTTACCTAGTGTGGTAAACAGAGTTATGAGATAGAGTATTTTAGAGTTATATGCCAGTGTAATTGCATGTTATTTATGTGATATGATTTATTGTGTTATGTGTTATGTATGGTTCAGAGTTACAAATTTAGGACCTTCGGGTCCAAAGAGTTAGGACTTTCGGGTCCATAGAGTTAGGGCCAGAGGGCCCATAGAGAGTTGGGGCTAGAGGGCCCTACTAGGACACATAGACCTGAGGGTCAACAGAGTTACAGCCTCGAGTGGCTATTATGTGTTAGAGTGGTATTTTAGGGAACTCACTAAGCATTTATTCTTACAGTGTTACGTGTTATGTGTTTCAGGTACCAGTGATGATCGCGGGAAGGCGCCGACATGATTCGTACATACGCGTACCGGAGTTTATATATATATTTTTGATCATGGGTTTTTGTGTTGATACAATGTTTTGTTTATATTTTCAAATGATATAAAATATAGAGAAATAAAAGAATGGTGTGAATGAGTTTGAAGTAGAATGTAAATATTTATAGGTAATTATTTTTTAAAATTACCAATAATATGGTCAAAGGGCCAAACCAAACTCAACTTTTTATCAAGAAAAATACGCATTGCAAGGCGTTCTTAGTACCACGAAGGATAAGTTAATGGCACCAGGGGCGGTGTTCAAGCCATTGTCATGGTGTTAAGCGATGTCCACGTCGGCCTTAACGCCCGATAACGGGCTTGTCCCCTCTAGTCTATAAGAGCTTAAAACTATCCTTTTAATAATAAAATGTTGCAAAAAAGATGCAATGGTCGTATTATTTATTATGATTTTGCTCATTCAGTCCCTTATGTTATTTTTATGCCTTTTAAGAGAACAAAGTTCGTTTTGTCGAGTCGAATGGGTCGTTTTTTACAAAATTATCACGGTTACCCCATATGACAGCTCATTTACTTTTATATGTTAATAATTAAAAAATAAAATAAAATGGCCGACAACCTCAATAATGTAATTCTCATAGTGACAGGCCCGTCCCAGATGGTGGACGATAGAGACGACCGTCTATGGTTCATCTTTTAAACGGTCCAAATTTGTTTATGAAAATTGTTATATTTAGAATATTGTATAAATAATTTTCTTTCAATTATTGAGTTATTATAAAAATCTTGATGAAAAATATGTATTTTAAGAACCTTTTTTTTTTTCTCCGGCCAAAATATATTTGGAATGGCTCTGCATAGTGATACCGCCACAGACAGAAATGGTGGTTAGGGTGAAAGAGGAGGTGAACAAATTAGCACACACAAATGAAGATATGTTAAAGCATATCGAAGGACTCCAAACGAAAAGGTTCAGTGAAGTTGAAGAACTCGTGTACCTCCATTAGGTTAACGCATCTCTACGATTTTAGCTTCGAAACTCCAAAAAGGCCAAACAGTTAATGTTAGAGAATGCAAGATCAGAACACTGTCAAGGAGGTAATGCAGATCTCGAAATCAACTTCTCTCAACCATTATCTCCAGGATTCGAAGATTTCGATACGACTTCCATTGATAGTTCCATTAGTCAAAACTCAGTAAAAAACCAAAGTTTGATCCAAAAACTTAAAAAGTTGGGGAAATCAAAAGATGATTTGAATTACGAAAAACAGGTGGGATTCGAAGATTTCGATACAACTTCCATTAATAGGTCCATTAGTGGACACACTAGTTTCAGTAAAAAAAACCAAGATTCATCCAGAAACTTAAAAAAAATAATAATAAAAAATAATAATAAAAAAAAATAAAGGGGGGAGGGGGGGGGGGGATCGGAAGATGATTTGAATTACGAAACAGATGTGAATCGGTCGCCATTACTATTTTTGGTGCAGTTGTTCCCTGTTCGGCTAATTCTCTAGAAACCCCAAATAATGTTTCATCATGGTTTCAATTGATGTCGAAATAATTAAGTGATGAACCGGTTAAAAAAAAAAAGTTAAATACAATTTGTTTTCTTAAAATGCTCGAAAATAACTTTAAGGATTATACGTGCAAAGTCGAATTACATAGTTTGGCCGTAGCTTCATTTTCGAAAAACAAAATAAATAAATACCATGTTACAAAAGTTACCTCATAAGCACACCCCACTAAATCATATATATATATATATATATATATATATAAATATATATATATATATATATATATATATATATATATATATATATATATATATATATATATATAATATATATATATATATATATATATATATATATATGACTGCAAATACATCAGATTAGAGAATGGTATCTGGTTTCCTTCACATCCTTTCCAAAGTTGATATGTAATGCGATGAACAGAAACAGATAAGCAGAAAAGAAGAGAATTTCAGGAAATGTTATCACAGAACATAATTCCAAGAAATAAACAGATTGAAGCAGCAAGTTACATTCTTTTTATACTAACAATAATAGCCTTTAACTATTAGTAATCATTAATCATAAGTAGAGGCTTGCATCAGATAATCTTTGAGAGGGTATAGCTATTAGTGGTTTCCTTTTCTTTGTCACAAGTCCGAACTCATCAGAAAGCTCAAACTCTTCATCTTTTGGCAAACTCCACTCAAACGAATGCAACAGCGATGCTAATATATACATCAACATCTTCTCCCCAAGGGAGATTCCCGGACATATTCTTCTCCCTACTCCAAATGGCAAAAACGTTAAATTATTTCCATTGTAATCCCATTTGCTGTTCAAGAATCTCTCGGGCTTGAACTCCAATGGATTGGGCCAGTTCTTGGGATCCCGATGGATTGCCCAAATGTTCGCATAGACGATAGTACCCTTTGGAATGTTGCATCCACCAACCATGCAGGATTCGTCTGGACATCTTTGAATTAGGAGAGGAAGTGGAGGGTGTACCCTGAATGTCTCCTTGATGACTGCATCCAAGTATGTCAATTTGGGTAGATGAGATTCTTGAACAATGTTCATGCCAATAACCTTTGTTAATTCCTCCTGAACCTTTCTCATTACATCTTCATTATGTAAAATTTCTGCCATCACCCATTCTACCATTGTTGATGTTGAGTCTGTTGCCGCAACCACTATGTTCTGTTATATAGCAATTTCTCTATCATTAGTATAAGTTAGTTTTAAAAAGAATAAAACCAAGGGACTTACTATTAACATGGCCTTAATTTGAATGATGTTGATTGTCTTTGTAGCATCTTTCTGCTCTTTAAGCTCTAACATCTCCACAAAATCCTTCCTTCGATCTTCGTCAACAATTCCCACGATTTTACTAGAGTTCGCTTTGATTCTTTCTTGGATAATCTTTTCAAATATCCGATCAACATATTCCAGTTGCTTCTGCATTTCTCGCTGCCTTCCTTGTAGATCAAACCACAATAACATTGGAAGAAAATCAGAGATGTTTAGCGCTCCTATCAACTCAATGATCTTGAACTCAACTTCTCGAAACCCATCTCCAATATCACTAAAATCCTTCGCTTCACCAGATTTGCTACAACCCCATAACATGCTTGTCACCACGTTGACCTCAGTCACGAAAGCAATTTCATTAACATCGATCTTTTCACCAAGCTTAGTGTAAACTTCGTTCACAGCCTTTCTCACTTCATGTGTTCGAAAACTCTGACATGAGTTGACATTTGCACTGCTCAACACACGACTAACCAATAGTTGACGCATGTTTCGCCAGTGTTTGTTGTTGTTGGACCACACAATATCGTTCCCACCATAAGTGATGGTCAATGCTGTGATTGGCGGGCTGCGATTAGCAAACGTCTGGTCAAGGTCATGAGCCACGACCTTTACAAGGTCAATCGAGTTCACCACAACATGAAGCTTTCTTCCAAGCCGGAGACTGAAGATAGGGCCATATCGGTGAGCCATCTCTGTGAATCTTTCATGCAAATTGGAGCCAAGAAACGGGAGGTAGCCTACAACTGGTAAGCCGAAGGGACCTGGTGGTATGCGCTTTCTGGGATACGAAACTTTCCATTTGTACCATAGAATTAGTAGTGTCGGAACTGAAATGGTGAGAAT